ACGATTATGCATGTATTTATTTATTTAAAAAAAATCGCGTTGTTGTGTAATTCTCTCCGTGTCTTTCTCGCTTCGAACATTCTCGTTTGGCATTTAGTTTTTAGGCTATTTCTAACTAATAACGTGCAACGTATTTTAAAGCGAAATGCTTTTAACAATTTGTTAACTAATTCTTTAATTTCTGTTGCTTTTCGTCTAGCTGCTAGTTATTATATAAATGAAAGAAATTTGTAATTTAACAACTTTTGAATTTATAAATTACGTTAACTATACTCTCGCTAATTATGATTAACTTTTATTGAATGTAAATTCGAAATTCACTTGTATGATGTAACATTGTTCTTTTCCAAATTTGTTTTTTTCTCAGATATTTGTCTTTATCCGGTGGAAGTTTTTCTCATTACAAACGTTAAATAAAAAGCTTTTCTTCGAAATTGTGTTAGAAATAAATAATTATGTAAGTTGGTAGTGTAGTCCTATTTTAGGATATTTGTTTAGAAATAATTGTTTTTTTTTCTAATGTGATTCTTTGAAATATAAATCTTAATTATTAATTCTTGAAAATGTTATAATACGAAGTGTTAAAATCTATATTTGTTAAGCGATTGTGATTACAATATTGGCCGGTGTTTTGTGTAATCATTGACTAACTGAAATAATCAACAGGTAGCAACAGATTAGCCTTTGCCTGGACACGGAAACACAAGCTCTTTTTTTTTTAGTCAGTTCAATACGAATCTATTTTTGAAACTCGTTTCTTCACCTATATTTAATTAATTGTAAATATCGATTTCCTCGTCACAATCAAAACCAATATTTCGATGATGAAAAGAAGTGTCCAAGATCGCAATTTACACGAGCACAATTAATTGCATACCCCGACGCGTTTCATTTATCTCTTTTTTTCCCTTTCGACTTGCGTTAATTGCGATCGTCCGAGAGGAAGAAACTGGAGGAAAAAAGGAAAACAAGAACAAAAAAAAAGAATTATAAAAGAACCGGTGGAAGTTCTCCTCTTCGCTCGTCGTTTTTCCGCCGTCTCTTGGCATTTCGTTGTGCGCGCGTTCGCGTGCTCTTCGAATTCGATTCCATTGTTTCGCCGAAGAAACCTTTCGACTGTGTGCTGCAATTATGTGATTAGATTATATTGTGAGTGTACAGCGCAGCACTGTGTGCGAGCTCACGGGCGCAAGCTAATTTCGATTGCGTAACACACCCGCATACCTGCGCGCAATTGTGTTTCGTTTTTCCACCGTTCGTTTTTCACCGTTTTTTTTGTTGTCTTTCGTTGGAAAATGCCAGAGTTCTTGTGAAAATAACACGCAACCTTCGATCGAATTGCGTTTAAAATTTCGACATTTTCATGAAGAGTATTATTATCATCATCGGGGAAGAGCGACGCTATTTTCGGTTGATCTAAATTTGGATGCGTTTATAAACCACGATTTCAACACTTTGTGTTTCAATATGCTTCGAGTCGAATCTGATAATTGCAAGTGGAAAGATGAATCAATTATTGATTTGTGAAATTATAAGTAATTGAGTGTAGTTATATGCGATATTTTCAATTACTTGTCAAGTGACGATTAAACTTAAGTAGACTTTGTTAGTTTGAAAAAGGTGTCTCGAGTAGACTGATTGCTGCTGCATTGAGTAATAGCAGTGTAATTATAAATAATATGTGTTACCATATTGTAATTGAAAAGATTGTTGGTTTTCTCTCTCGTTTTCTTAATGGTTTCATATATAAATATCGCAATTAATATATCCTGTAAGTTGAAGTTCAAGTACGTGACTTTTCTCTCGACGAGGTCCGTCATCGCGCGCGTCGTGAATCATTGATTCGTTCGTAAAGTCATTAAAAGAAAAAAATGAAGGTGTGTCTCGGAGTGCAAAGAAGAAGGTAAAAACAAGAACCGAAAAATAATAATTAATAAATAAACGAAAAGGATGTCCCGAAAAAGTGCGTCCATCATCCGGGAACGTCCGAAAGTAAAAGTTATTGATGGATCAATGTTATCCATTTGGAACGAAGAGATTCATTGATAATTGTTGCATAACGTCACTGCTGCAGTGGGCGGCTTCACTTTGGGGCGACAGGTGTCTAGATGCGAGCGGAAAATTATCGCTGTTGTGTAATTAGTAAGGAGAGACGTAACGATTTTCAAGGTGGACGGGAGCTCGTTCTAACGCATAATTATTGTATATTATTTAATGTTAGTTGAATGTAAAATTTGAGCTCCACGAAACGTTTGAACAGGAATCGAATATTTCCATTTGCGATGAGTCAAATCTGAATCAAGCAGTAAGTCTGCATGTTTGGGTAATTGAACTCTGCTTTACAAATTTTGTAGGTCGCACGCAGTCGCAATAATAATAATTACAATCATCATAATTGTTCTGGTTCTAACACACTTAGTTTTTTTTTTGTTGTTGTTACCGAACGAAGAGGTGTTTGCTCAAAGCTGTGATTTCTGACGAGTGTAATAATGAGAAATTACGAATGCCGATGAGGTCTTCCAAATGAACGAATAGCAATTAACGTTCCTTTGTCTCTGCTAATCAAAATTAACCGATTGCTGTGATGCGGTTTGAATATCAAGCGAGCGATCATCTTCTATGAACGCCTTTGTGTATTTTGTGTCATATGCTTCTTTGTTGTTACGTTGAATTTTTGAACTCACAACGGGGAAACAAAGGATCGATCGAGATTGTTAATTATTAAATACTAAAGTGTCGCGAGTTTACAAACAAATAACAAATTCAATTTCGAAATTATACGTTAGCGTTGACCATATGTTTATTCAGTATTTTGTTTGTGAGAAACGACGCTTTGAATCACTAATTTAAAATACAAGAATTAATACTTGATATATTAATATTAATTCTTCTATTATTGTGATTAAATTAATGTTTATTAATCATTTGATTCGTTTAAATTCCATGTATTAATCTGCACGGATGATACATGGTTTTTAATGGTTGAAAGGGATGATGGTTCAAGTAGTCTGATTGCCACGTCATTCAAATGTCCTTCGAGTTTATGCTGGTGTCTGCCGCTAAATAATGTAATAACCTCTTGCACTCTTTCTAATTACAGTTGTCTGCAATATTTTTGTGTAGACTACATTTATTGCATGGAATATTCACTTGTTAAGTGGATTTCTATTTCACTTTTCCATGTTAATACTTTTACCAAAGAATTAATTTTTATGTTTGATTATATAACCGAATGGTCCACCCTTATTTATTAGTTATACAACCAAATGTACCCCTAAAAAATGCTGTCCCTGTTGATTTTGACAGATAGACAGACATGGCCTTGATGTTGTATCCAGTAGTTTTATTCAATTGTTTACGTCCTCGTGAGTATCTTGATCCGTTGATTGGTGATTTAAACGGACAATTGAGTAATTTAGTAATAAGGGATGAAAATGTGTAACGTGGGTTTAATTTCCATGGTGAGAACGGATTTGCTAATGTGACGAGGGTTCTCCTGGGTGTAAAGATTTCATGCTCTAATTATATATTTACGCAAGTAAGGATTAATTATTCAAATGGGACGGTAACATTAATAATTAATTATAATTTTCTGAGAAAACACTCATTCTGTTGAATGGTTCAGATGAAGATTTTATGAATTTAACTAATTACTTGGAATTAGTAATATTTGAAGAAGATAGAATGTAGAGTTTATGTGAAAGGTGTTGTTTTTTTTAGGAAATTTACATATTAATGATTTAATCGAAAAGTCTGTTTGTGTTTTAATATCGAATCGAAATGGTTGAGAAATCAGTGCAAAAAAAAATATGTGAAAAGTAGTTGGACTTTGGAGCACAGATGATCCTTTTTATCATTAACACCTCGTCGAAAAGAAACGGTTAAATCAATCGTAAGTAAAATTGAAATAGATTAAAATGTATGCGTATTTTTAGAAATATGAAAGCTCATGACGAAAAATCCTGTTGAATATCTTATTTTTACTTTCTGATTTCGTGCAGCGATTATTATGTTTACATATTAGATATACATGAAATGAAGAATAGAAGCGGCAAGTGAACTATAACGAAATATATTATTATATTTTTTTTTTTGTAAACGAATCGTTGTTCTCTCTTTCACTTCGCAGCAGCAGCGCGCGCGCCTGTGAACTCGAGGAATATTATTACACATATATAATAATAACGAAGCTGCATGTGTAATATATAATAATTTCTAAATTGCGATTTTCTCGGTGAAAGGTTCGCAGCGAAAGTGACACGATATAATAGTTAATGCTAATAATTTTCGCCGTTCGCGAAATAGCGATAATTGCTGAGAGGGGAAAAAAGGAACGTTGTTGTTGTTGTTGTTGGATGGTGCGAAGGCGTTTTACGACGGATTACGAAAGTTAAGCAACGTGTGATGGGAGGGTGGGAGTTAGAACCAATTAAAATAAATGAATTTTAATAGTTTGGATACACGCGACGCAGCAATTTGTCAATTTGTATGGAAATCTAGGAACAAATTCAGAAACTGAGCGAAATGCAAATGGACTTTCAGTAGTAACCCTTTCTTGGGTTTGTTTGTGATTGATGGTCCATCATCCAAATGATTGATTCTCTCTTTCCAACCGAATGATATTTGCTATTGGAAAAGTAAAGTCGAAGATCCATCATCCACTTTTGCGAAATCGAAATTGTGAAATTTACGTGGATGTAAAAAAAAGAGAAGCAGAATTGGTTTGTTTTAAGCGTGTTTCGCGAACCGGGGCAAAATAATGACGCGCGCGCGTATTTTTCAGAGCGCGGAGAGGAAGCGATTTGCTATTGTTATTGCAAAACATTTCGAACGAACTGGAAGAGCAAATAAATGGTGGATAGAGAGAGAGAGAGAACGTGCAAAATTCGGTTATAATAATTATTATTATTATGAGTGAATTTATTTTTGGATAGTCCTTTGATGTGCGTGTGTGTGTGGATATTTACCCGACTAACGCAAAGTCTTTTCTCTTTCCGCAGGGGTCCTGGACATGACTGCCACGGAAAACACGATCCGTTTCAGTGTCCACACCCTGGACAAAGCCACCAAAGCGAAGGTCACCCTCGAGAATTACTACACTAATTTAATCACCCAGCATGTGGAGAGGAAACAAAGGTATTGTTGTTATTATTGTATGGTGTATTTGAAGGTATTTGATTGGTTTGTTTTGTTTGTTGCGAAGGCTTGCGAAGTTGGAGGAGTCGCTGAAGGATGACAGCCTTTCGGAGGAACAGAAGAACGAGAAGAGGCTGCAGCATGCGCAGAAGGAAACCGAATTTCTGCGGCTGAAGAGGTCCCGGTTGGGCGTCGAGGACTTCGAGCCGATCAAGGTTATTGGTCGGGGAGCCTTCGGCGAGGTCCGGCTGGTGCAGAAGAACGATACAGGACACGTGTACGCGATGAAGATTCTCCGGAAAGCGGATATGCTGGAGAAGGAGCAGGTGGCACACGTGCGCGCAGAGCGCGACATCCTCGTCGAGGCGGACCACCAGTGGGTCGTGAAGATGTACTACAGCTTCCAGGACCCCATCAACCTGTATCTCATCATGGAGTTTCTTCCCGGCGGCGATATGATGACGCTGCTCATGAAGAAGGACACGCTGTCCGAAGAGTGCACGCAGTTCTACATCACCGAGACGGCGCTCGCCATCGACTCCATACACAAGCTCGGGTTCATCCATCGCGACATCAAACCCGACAACCTCCTGCTGGACGCCAAAGGCCACCTCAAGCTGTCCGACTTCGGCCTCTGCACCGGCCTCAAGAAGTCCCACAGGACGGACTTTTACAGAGATCTCAGCCAAGCCAAACCCTCAGATTTTAGTGAGTCATCGCCGATCACATACAAATGGTAAAATTAAGTTAATTGTTCTTGCAGTTATAACGTCGAGTCCGATGGACAGCAAACGACGAGCGGAGAGTTGGAAGAAGAACCGGAGGGCTCTGGCCTACAGTACGGTCGGAACGCCCGACTACATCGCCCCCGAGGTCTTCCTTCAGACGGGATACGGCCCGGCCTGCGATTGGTGGTCGCTGGGCGTCATCATGTACGAAATGCTCATCGGATATCCGCCCTTCTGCTCGGAGAATCCACAGGACACGTATAGGAAAGTCATGAACTGGCGCGAGACTCTCATCTTCCCCGCCGAGGTTCCAATCTCCGAAGAAGCCAAAGAAACTATTACTAGGTAAAGCACCAACCAATCACTCCAAACGACATCTCCATCATCCAATCCATTTATTCCGGATCCAATCGAGTCGTCTTTTCTTCACCCTCACTTTTTATCATCCTCCTCAATTTACATCTCAATCAATTTGATGCTATTTATGTAGAAATTGAGTAACAACTTTGCTTTTTCCACAATTTGAAATTTTGATTATTTCAGATTTGGAAGCTATAAATAATTTGCGTTGTATGTATAAAGAAATACATTTCAATTTAGAACATTAATTCTAGAGATTCTGTTGATTGCTTCACATCATTGCAATTGATCTTGATTGTTTTACAACTTGCTGTTTTGATTTTAATGTTGTGACTTTATTAACCGTCTGGAAAAGCGTTAACGACGTTTATGTGCTATAGGTTTAACTTTTATTGGATTCAATTATTGCTTAAACCGTGCTAGTATTCTACATTAAAAGCAGATGATCTCATCTAAGAGTAATAACTTGAGACACGTGTTGCCGTTTCGTTGTAGATAGATAGATAAAAAAAAAACCAGAGTAATTGCGCTAATGAAAACCAGTAACAGGTTTAAAATTAGATTAGGAATAATTAAGCAAATGTAGCCGAAACTTAAAGTTTCTTATTTGTTCAGGTTTTGCTGCGAGGTGGAGAGGCGAATGGGAAACCAAAAAGGCATCGAAGAGCTGAAGCTTGTGTCGTTCTTCCGAGGAGTGGATTGGGAGCACATCAGGGAGAGGCCGGCAGCTATACCGGTGGAAGTCCGATCCATCGACGACACCTCCAACTTCGACGACTTCCCCGACGTCAAATTGGAAATCCGTGAGTGCACGATAACCTGACCCACCGAAAGAAAGAGTGTTAACTTTTATTTGTTCTTGTTTCAGCTGCAGCACCTTTACCTCAAGACGGAGAAGTGACGTATAAAGACTGGGTGTTCATAAATTACACGTTCAAGAGGTTCGAGGGTCTTACGCAAAGGGGGACGCCCACGAAGAAATAGTCAGCACTGCAAATTAATACTTAGATTATAAGATGAAGAAGAAAATAAGAAGAAGAAGAAAACACGATAGAGAAAAGTGAGAGAAAAGGAAGAAGAAGACAAAAAAAAAGCAGAGAGAAACGAGAAGGAAAAAAATGAAGAAGAAAAAAAAAAACAAAAAGAAGTGTTTTCTCATATTTTTTAGAAATTAACAAATCGAGTAGCTTTTTTCGTTCGCGGTTGTTGTTGTTTGTTCGATTCGGTTGTTTCCTTGCGAGTTCTTTAGATGAGATTGTTAAGAGCAAAACGAGAGTAATTAATTAATAACGCAAACGTTTTTTCAAAGAAAAAAACAAGAAAAGTAATAATAATCAAGAGAAAACTAGTTTATTATTTGGTGATGAGTCAATCAGGATCACGGAAAACACGCCGTTTCCAATTTCTAAAACTAACTAAGTTCGCATCCGTTTCTTTCTATTTTTTTTTAATTATAAATATATATATATAATATAAATATTAATTACTAATTAAATTCTTTTTTTTTTTTTTCAAAATAGATTTAATTTTTTTGCGCGAAACGCCGTTGTTTCTATTTTCTATATTATATATCAGAGCTGTGAATTGTGAAAATGAAGAGAGAAAAAAATAAATGAGAGATTTAGAAAGAAAAAATACAGAGAAAAGGTGAATCGATTGTACGTTGTGTGTTTGTGCGTGCGTGCGGAAAAGAAGTTGAAATATCGCAGCGACTCGTGAATATATATTAAACGAGAAATATAATAATTTGATTCGGTCTGAAACGAAGAACATCTCTTGCTGTGATATTTTTGTTCCCTTCTTTCCGATTCGCGCGCACACATCATTATAAGTGTATTAGTGCATATATATTATATATATTTGTGAATATGTTATATTATTATTTTTTATGTTTTAATTGTTATGAAGTGATAATTTTTCAGTTTTCTTTTTTTTGTTTACTATTCTCTTCTCCTTCTTTTTTTTTTACATAGACTAATTAATTTCGACGTAACATTGTTTTTGTTTCTTTTTTCGTTTCTTTTCTTTTCGTGAAAGCACCTTCTGGATTCATTATTTCGCTGCGTGATAGCCGATTATTATTATTATTATTATGAATATTCTTTGTAATTACTTTATGTCCAATAGTTTAATTATTTAATCGGATGATGATGATGATGATGATGACGACGATGGTAGTTTGTTCTTTCAATTGTGATAATAATATGATGGATGATGATTTTCTTTTAGCCGCGCCCCCCTGTTTTGCGTTCGTTCACGATAATGTTGATTATTTTCCGTGCATGTACATACTATATAATATGAAAAATCTATCCCAAGAGATGAGATGAAAAAAAAATGAAGAAAAGAAGTGAAATAATTGTATTGTGAGGTTTGACACAGATCATATTTTTGTAGTAGCCTGAGAAGATTTGAAACAAAAACGCACTGCTCCACCCACACCCGAAAAACAGTTGGAGTGGGCGGAGCGACTCTGTCCGCTCGCCCGCCCTCGCCGCGACCGAACCAATGAACGTCGATTTACTGAAAGCGACTCGTTTTTGTTTTTCCGGTTTGTTCAAGAGTACCTTGCGCGTTTTCAGCGACTCCGAGATGTTTTATTCCCCCGCGAGATGATAAATGAACAAAAAAAGAAAAATATATGAAATTATATATATATATATATGAGAATGAATATAAAAAAAAAAGTATATATATTTTTAGGTACTAAGTACTGTGTAATTGATATCAAATTTTTGTCCGCTCTTGTTTCTTTTGTAATTATTATTATTTTGTTTTCCTTCTAATTACTTTGTTTAAGCTGTAGACTTGTTATTGCATTTCACTTTTTTGGGAGGGGGGGAGGTAATGAAATTTGCTAGGGAGAATTTCGAATGCAATAATGATTAGGTTCGATGTGTGTGAAGAGAGAAAAGTGGCTTGAGAAAATGAGGGGTTTTTGTGGAGCGGAGACCGACAAAAAAAAAAAAGAGTATACAAATTAAATCTTAAACTAAAGCAAAACCACATTTCCAGCACGATCAATCTTAATAGCAGCGCCTGTTTCTTTTTGTGTATCTAAATATATATTATATGTGTATATGTCTGAATCGAAGAAGAAGAAAAAGAAGAAAAAACAAAACTTGTTGATAGAGGATATTCAGTAGGCTGTTTTGGTTTTTAGCTCTCTAACGAGGAATATGGGAGACGACGACACGTTGTGCAGTGCACCCTTCGATTTTCGATTTTACTGTGGACTTTTTATATTTTTTTTCTTTACTGTTTGTTTCGGTGCATACATTTCTAGGTAGAATATTTTTTCGACATTATTTTTTATTATTTTTATTATTATTTTTTTTTTGTTATTTATTACAATTTATTATATTTTATAAATAATTGGTCTCTCGCTGACTTGTAAATAATTTACTTGAAATTGTATAACATGAAAAGAAGAAGAGTTTATTAAACTACTATGTGCTTTAAACGACAACAACAATTACTCCAATCCACAATATATTCCTCCCATCTCCAAATTAAAAAATCTAGTTGCATCACTATTTTCCACAAATAAGGTTGAAAAATACTGCTCTATGATCTATCCTGCATGGTTATCGTGAAATTAATCAAAAAGTGAATTAATTTCAGCAACTACGTTCATAACTCGTATAGATGTAAGGAATACAGCTCGTTGGAAAGTTAAACTTTCAGCTTTAATTTGAGTGTAAGATGATGTAATTGTCTGAAAGGGATGTCAAGAAATTCACGAAAAACTAAAAAAAATCGCAAAAATCGTCTATTCCATGATAATATTATAGAACTTTTGTTACATAAAAAGTTGAGAAATGCAACAATAGTTACGTAATTTTCGAGTATTTAAGAAAAAACGTGAAAAATCAACGAATCAGAAATCAATATTTAAGAAAATCCTATTCACTTTGTTTCCAATTTCTTCAACTCGTATTAGGCGACTTGATCACAGCATGAAGATGCCAATAGTTTCGTAGGAAAGGTGAGGTATTCTGCTTTAAATTGTGTGGTCGATTATGTAATTATTAAAAATGAAATTGAAATGCTTAACTTTGATAACTTATAGTAGATGCACTGACCACAATGCCCGCAGTCAGCTCATTGGAAAGGTTGTAGTTTTGTCTTTAATTTGCCTATTCGATTGTTTAATTATCATGAGTGGTAATTGATTAATTTTAAAAAACGTGAAGGTATTGCAGCAAATTGAAAAAAATAGTTAAATAAATGGTTATATTCATATATATTACAAAATTTTAATTTACTGTTTTAAAGAATCATTCTTTCGCTTTTGTTTGCTATAAACTACGTTAGTTTTGGTCAATTAATCACAAAGTTATTAAGCTTTAATGCGTTGGCGGTTTTCGCGAATCAAAACGCAAGTCCCCCCCCTTGATTCTCGAAAATGCCAGAAAATTTCGTTTTGCACTAGGAGAACAGGAGTAGCGAGGAGGTATCTGAGCTCCTAGCATCGCTCGTTCCTGATTGGTTGTAATTTGAAATTTTGAAATTTACGTTTGTGTGAGTGAGCGAACTGTCATTGTCACTCAAAACTATTTCCAAAGTTTGATAATTAATTGTGAGCAAGCTATGTTAGATAGAAGCCTGTATTTATACTCATTTTAATCTCTCTATATTCTAGATCAACATTCATATTCAATATTCTTCTGGGATCATTTTCTTATGAAAATACAGATAATTTTCGAAGACGTTGTTTTTTTTCAATCTGTCAAATACTAAAGTTTGATAATTAATTATGAAGACGCTCTAACAGATATAATACAATATTTATGCTCATTTGAATCTACGTATATTCAAGATCAACATCCATGTCTAACATTCTTATGGGAGCTAATTTTTACGAAAATACAAGCCATTTCCGAAGACGTTATTTTGCCTGCTGTTATTTGCAAAATAACAAAGTTTGTTAATTAATTATGAAGACGCTATAGCAGCTATAATCCAATATTTACGTTAATTTTAATCTGTGTATATTCTAGATCAACATTCATATTCAAAATTCTTCTGGGAACATTTTTTTACGAAAATACAGTTAATTTTCGAAGACGTTGTTTTCCAATCAATTACTAAAGTTTGATAATTATTTATGACGAAGCTATGATAGCTACAAACATATTTTTAAGCTCATTTTAATCCTAGTATATTCAAGATCAACATCCATGTATAATATTCTTCTTGGAGCTCATGTTTACGAAAATACAGGCCATTATCTAAGACTGTTAGTTCATCAAAGTGTATACGCATATTTGGTTGCCCGCACTTTAGGCGCAAAATAAATATTCGATTTTAAGCGACAGCTGCCGCCATCTGTTAGCAATATTACAAAGGTTGTAGTTCAGGCATTTTGGCGCTGCTTAAAATCCACTTCTTTAAAAACGTTCTAATTTAAATAAACAAATATGTCAGCATAGTTCTTGAATAATTGTAATGTTATTACTTTAGTCTAATCATTTAAATGCTAATTAGTTTCCGAGTTATATGCATTTTAATTATGACAAGCAGACACATCTGACGGAATTTGCAGGAAATAGTCTGCAACAAGTATACGTATGTATTTAATTAATAAAATAGCATAACAAGGTGTGCAAAGCTGATCCTATCTAATTTTGTAAAGTAATTAGAGTTAATTTCATTAATTTTTGAGTTAGCAAGGAAAATATAAATTTTATGTCATATTAATTATTCTATTGGTTGCCTATACATCTCTCTGTTACTTATTTGCCTATATATAATTACTGTGATGTATATTGGGTTGCCTGCCTTCAATGATAGGATATGCGAATTATTACACGTATCGATTATAATTTTGCACAGCCATAATTGTAAGGATATATCCGTTATATCCATGTACCTTTATTGGAAGGAATCACATTTGACCATTGGACTCTTCATATTCGTCACAAAATGGATGGAATGTTTAGAAATGGTAATGGCAACATGGCAAAGGTGCTAGAAGGGAAAGTAGACGAGTAGACAGACATTGTATAACGAAAAAAGAAAAGGAATAAACTGAACATCAGTTAGTCGTTCTTACTCGAAAGGTGCATTAATTTATATCTGTAGCCCAAAATAGTATCGTCGTCCCTAGGCTATAAAATTCAAGAGAAATCCAGAGCAACAATAAAATTCCACTTGCCTGCAGGTAAAAAGCATTTAATATTATTACTTATCAAGTCTAACTCTTTCCTAGTGTGACAACATCAAAATGCATATTGGCTGTGTGAGAGTGTGCATTGTTTTGAAACAGGTAACTGTGATAATTATTCGAGCAGCCCATTTCAATTGCATTTAAATTGTAGTGTATTGCTGCCAGTGGGACAAAATGGTATTAACACAATCATGTGTTAATAGGTTATTGCATTAATGCTGTGTGTTTCTATTGGATGACATTCAATTACACTTTTTTTAAAATATTGTTTTCAGCCGTATACATCAATGTAGAAGCCTTTGTTCGCAATTATTGTGTGCTGAGGCTAAACTGTACTGGAAAGAGCAAACAAATACTTTGGACTTTGCTCTTGACCAGCTGCAAGATACACTTGCCAATTGATCAAAGTTGAAAGTTTTATTCTTTTCAAGATCCAAATATAACTAAATTATTTTACTGAAGGTTCAAAGTGAACACTTTTTATATATCTGATTGTGGTTGATCACAGTTTCATGGATCACTGAGATTATGGGTCTAGACATAATCATCATCTCTGATCAACTTGTGATAACAGCAAGTGTAATCTATTTCACTTCTTAGGTGTTATTTGCACTTTCTAATTTTTCTATAATTTCCTGCGAGAGAAATTTCGGTCATTGCACATGCTGTTATTTACAATCTACATATATATATATACACACACAATTTTTCTTCTTTGTTTGTTGATGGAACATTAAACATTATTACTGGATATCAGCGGCATTTGATGACCTGTGCGTGGAGTGCGTCAATGAAGTTTTAAAACGGACTCGACCCACGATTAGAATGTCAAAACGTTCATCAACGTATCTCCAATATTTATTTATTTATTTATTTATATTTCATGTTTCGCTTCGCCCCAGGAATTCGCGAGTTTACTTTTCTCCCACATTCATCAATTAATTAATTAATTAGATAACCGTTTTATCTGTCAGGTTCAACTAATCGAAGTCAAGTTCAAAGTATAGGATTTTTACTTTGTCCTCGTACTTCTTGTCAGATCTCGGTAATTTTGGATCATCGTCGAATCATCGTTTAAAGTTACAATGTATTGATAAGGGAGATAAAATTGTTTTTCGTCTCGGTGGGGTCTGCGGCTCTCCTTATCAAATTTAAAATATGTACCAAACAAATGTTACAAGGCCTTCTAATTATAGCTAACAGTTATTTTTTTTTTGGAACAATTGAATTGTTTTGTTATTTGGGCGAATGAAGAAGAAAGCGACTATACAAAAGGTTACATTATTTCCTAAATTCCGATATACAAATAACTACTAGATTTCAAAGTTGTAATCTATAAGGTTAGTCCAGAGACTAGATCTAAAAGGAAACTAAAAATTAAGTAAGAGACAACATTTTAAAGTTGACCTAATTAAATAATTTTAGAAAATGTAAGGTTTACAAAATGTGATTATAAATGGATTACTAATTTCAATAGGAAATTTTGTAATCATATTTGTTTTCTGGCTTTAAAATGGAAAAAAATAAATAAATATTACTTAATTTACTAAAATCCCGAAGTTGAGGAATTTTGTTAAACGGATTTTTATTGCTTATTGATTGCACAAAAATAAAACATACTAAAAGATTATAAAATGTCTGTAAGTAATAAAAAAAGGTATACAGTGGAACTTTAACGAGTTTAATTCGTTCCAAAATTTGCGGATTTTTAAACATATTGAAAAATACACATAATATGTGTAAACAAGTTTTAAAACTGATGTAGCTAATTTGGGACTTCTCTTCTCATCATCACTCGTTAATTCTCTTACAATTCATTTTGTATATTGAATTACATCTAAACTGATTTCCAAAATTTATATTCTAATCTTGTTTGCTTTTCAAAAACTATGTCAAAAATCGTATGCAAATTAATTTAAGTACGTAGCTTCGAAATTAATTTAAAAAAAAATGGTATTATGTGAGACTAGTAATTTAAATGTATAATCGAAAATGTCCTGTGATTGACGGATGTTATGTCGCATACAATATAAAAGAAATATAAAAGAACAATCGTAAATGTAGCACAATGAAAATTACAAATCTTTTCTTTTGATAAATGCATAAAGGAAATAGTTTCGTGCTATTATCTACAATTCCACGTTGTGACTTTCCAGTGAATATCGAGAATCCAAATCTATTTCAGCTTCTAAACTATTTGACTTTTAGGCTCCGATAAAGTATTATCATCGAGCGAGCTAGTGACAGAGTCTTCAGGCAAGTCTTCTGCTCCCATTGCGCAACCTATTGTTATCTAAAGATGGGTCCAGCGGAGATGTGCACGAAATATATTACATCAACAACTATTTACTGCATGGGTTTTTGGAACGTTTTTGAACCTGTTTTCGCGGCACGCACCAATAGCCGACCGCAACAACACCCCCACCGCCGCCTATTTACTCTTGTAAATAGCGCACGTTATGTATTTATAAATATAGAAATCGCGGGCAGCGCCAGTGGTCGCCTCGTATTTCCAAACCGAACGCTGCCGCCTCAGTCTCCTGCAGATGAGCACGACGAATTACACGCAAAGTTAATAACAATAACAAATAATAAAAAGACGATAAAGAAAAACGGATAGAAAGTTTGTTTTTCGAAAGATAGTAATTAATAAGCGCAGTTACGATTGGAGTGAGTGCCTGGGAAAAGGAGGAGATTTCTTCGACCCACTTCCCTGCAAGCAGAAGCAAAGTAAGTGCGTTTGGAGAAAATAGTTGTAGTTATAATTAAGCAACCTCCGATGCTGTTTTTGTTGTTGCTCCGGACTTTGGACTCTCTCCGTTGCAGTCGCATCTTTGCAACGTGGGAGTGCTTTTTTAAAAATTTGAAATTCTACTTTTACAATTCTCATCGTAGATTAATAGAAGCGTTGTTTTTATTTTTGATTATCTACGCTGTAATACACATACTCGTCGTAATGCAAACAACCTTTCGAAGAAAAAAAAAAACGAGGTTCCAAAGGTCGATTCACCTCTATCAATCCGATTGCGCATCAACTCGTGTCGAGTCGTGTTTGTTTTGCTGTCGTAGTTGTCCATTAGTTGTCGCGCGCGGGGCTCCACAGGGGTCCTCACTCTCTCCCGCGAATCCAACGAAAACTTGTATATCGCTTTATTATCGCATTGCAAACACTAATTATTTGATTATTGCACGCTTCGCGTCTCTAATGAGAGGAATCAACCTTTGCACATCCCTTAATGTATTTCTAATTGTATCCAATCCAATTGAACAATTTTTGTTAATAGTCCTTAACATATAATATAATTAATTTAACGACCCATTAGCATATATTTCTATAAATTTAATTCCTAATTCAATTGATATTATATACAATTCCATTAAAACATTATACAATAATGAGTACATAAAAGTGGAATTTTGTAGATGTATATTTCCACTTGATATTGTCTAAGTGTATCTGATATTATCTTTTCTTTTTATCTAGTCTATAATTAAACATTCTACAATACCATTAAAACTATATTTAAAAATATCTACAATTCCATTGCAACTAAATGCAATTACGAGTGACTGCTTAAACCTGGATTTTTTTCTATGCATATTTCTACTTGATGTTGTCTAATTATATCTGACTTTATCTTGCATTCATGAATGACGCTTTCATAGATAAACACACGGATTCATTAATTTAACAATCCATTAAATTTCTCTAACATGCATGAAAATCTTTTGCAACGTTTCAATTATATATGGTATTTTCACTTGTTATTTAGTACGAGTAATGTCAAATTTCTAGAGAAACGCATTGATTTCATAAATACCAATTTTGAAAAATTCTTACTAAATTTTGTTATGATATTTTCATTCAATTTCTACCATTTACATAACTTTTTACTTCACCCCAAAATCTATCATAATTTAACACAAACTATTGTATGCAAAATTTTACTTTATGCTGTTTTAGTGCAGTGTTAAATTTAAAATCGTATACGACAATGCACGTATGATGATATAACTTTTTTTTTATATAGAAAAGAAAAAAACGTTGATTGTATTTACAATTTAAATAAATGAAACAATAGCAACTTAATCATTGTTGTAAATTGTTAATTTAAACATTTAGATTTAAAACATCGTTGGAATCATTACAAACAATTGACTTTAAATTGACTTGTATTTATTAAACATCGTTCTCCTCGGAATGTACATTTTTAAGTTAATTATTGATGCAATACTTCTAATTTATAAATACCTGTGAATTAAAGGTAAATATTATTAATACTTAATTTATTCGCAAGAGATGAAGTAAAAGTTTCCAAATGCGATGAAACAAAGTACAAAATGCATGACTCTAAAATAATAGCTGCATTTGTTATGACGACATGACTCGTCTCTTTTTATTTTATCAAAGTTTATTCGTGGAATATCCAAAGCCATGCATTCCAAATAGCAATTTCTTGCATAATTGATTTTCAAATTTTATTTATAAATGATAAATCATGATGAACGAACGAATACGTAATTAAGGGCACGTTACGTATGAGAGAGTTACGCAACCGATTCCAAGGATCCGGTTGATCCTTCTTCCTGCACGTGTCCCCGGGACCCGACACAATCACAATCAAACAATTGACGCAATTGCAATTATTCCGAATCGCAGGGGCCATCGCATTTTTCGCTTCGGCTTATATTTTTCGCTCGCCTGCTCAGACTTGTTATCGTCTAGTGACGAAATTGGGATAATATAAATAATAAATATTTTTATTCGACCGATAACTAAACCGTTTACGTTAAATTTGTGCTTATTAAATTATCGCATGCGGAAGTAGAAATTCTGTTTGAAAATCTGCGCTATATTTCCATTTTCGTATTTAAAAAATTAAGCTAATTATCATAGATGCATAAATTAATAGATAGAGTAAAGTTTAAAATTCCAATCGAGACGCACATTATAAAAATTATAATCATTTTAATGATGTCATAATTCAATGGAAACGTGTGAAAACAATAATAAATGGTCCAATGTCCGAAATTCATATAATTATTATTAGAATCTATTTATAATTTATATTTTGATGCGTTTGTATGATAATGGAATTTACGTGTTGAACGATTGCTTAATTGGGTTTTGATGCGTGTACTTTCTAAATTCGCTTTGATAATCGATTTACAATTTAATGTTATTGTTATTTATTATTTTCGTTGCAGCTGAGACGCGGTCATGGCTGAAGCCCATTCGGCTGTCGCCTTTTCCTTTGCCATCACCCACGAGGGATGGGACGTGAACTTCGATCGGGAAGTCCTAAATTTAGTGTGGCAATCCGGCATTCGATCATGGAAGAAGAGATTCGCCAGATTCATGGTAAATTCAATGAAATGAAATAAGATGTTCAATGGTAATTGCTTTTTTTTTGGTAATTTACAGAACAGCGTACACAATGGAGTGTATCCGGCTCACCTGTGGACGCTCTGGATTACGATGTGCATTACTTCCGCTATACATTTCTCAGGATACAAAGTGCCTTATGATTTGGTGACCAAAGTTATGCCTCTGCTACCTGGGTAAGTGTATCCTGTATATTGTAGATTTTGGCAATCATTGATCGGTGTTATTTGCGTTTTATAGATCATGTGTTAGATGGCAACTGATTGGAAGCATGCTGGCTGCGATGGGACTGTGGTTATCTGTGATATTTACGATGCGTTACATGCTGAAATTGCTGTTACTGTACAAAGGGTGGATGTACGAATCGCGCGCGAAGGGCAGCAAGCCTTCGACGTTCACCAAATTTTGGTTGCTCGTGGTGCGCGTGTTCAGCGGATGGAACACGCCAAAGCTGTACAGCTTCCAAGGTTCTTTACCCAAGTTACCGTTGCCTGCGCTTCACGACACCATGACAAGAGTAAGCGTAGCGTCTTGTTTATAGTATTGTTGGCACACGCTAACCGATGTTCTGTTTCAGTATCTTAGGAGCGCTCGTCCGTTGCTCGATGAGGACAATTACAAGAAGATGGAAGGTTTGGCCTCTGATTTCGAGAACGGTATCGGTGTAAAATTACAACGTTATCTTGTTTTAAAGTCCTGGTGGTCGAGTAATTATGTGTCCGATTGGTGGGAAGAGTACGTCTACCTGAGGGGACGCTCGCCCCTCATGATCAACTCCAATTTTTACGGGGTCGACACAATCATGATGGATACGGACAAAGGGCAGGCGGCTCGCGCCGCCTCCGCCATTAACTCGTGCCTGCACTACCGTCGCTTGGTCGAAAGACAAGAGCTGCAGCCTATTCTAATTCAAGGTTTAGTACCGCTCTGCTCATGGCAATACGAAAGAATCTTTAACACTACCCGCATCCCGGGCATCGAGACCGACAAAATCCAACATTGGTCAGATTCCAATCACATAGTCGTCTATCACAAGGGAAGATACTACAAAGTCATTATTTACAAGGGGAGAATCCTGAAACCCAATGAGATCCAAGAGTACATCATCAATTACTAAACTAAATTATGAATTTAATACTAATAATGATAATCTTTTTTTTAGACAAATCGAGTACATTTTGAATGACGCCTCGGAACCTCTACCAGGTGAAGAGAAATTGGCCGCACTGACTGCTGGAGAGAGGACGACCTGGGCCAACGCCAGGAGGGTGTACTTCAACACGGGCGTCAACAAAATCTCCTTGGATACCATCGAGAAGGCCGCATTCGTCGTCACTTTAGATGACGTGCCCTACGAATACGACTCAGTACGTTAGAAACAAAAATTTGATATGACAATTTTTTTTTTAACAAAAACGACCAAATTTCAGGCTGACCCCACAAAATTAGACAAATACGGAAAGACACTCCTCCACGGAAAAGGCTACGATCGCTGGTTCGACAAATCGTTCACGCTTTGCATCGGCAGCAATGGAAGAGTAAGTCCTAAATTCTTCTTCTTATTTTTCCTCTCACAATTTCGCCAGCCGCGGTTTTTCATTAATTTGAGATTTCTTTACACTGGTCTAAGTCACTGGGATCATGGGGGAAAATACATGTGGGACGACTACACTAATTAACAACTTTCGAATCGGCGGTCTCAGCGTTTCAGTACACCGGTGTTTCCTAAATTCTATTTATCATATTTCGAAAGGAAAATGTTAGGCAACCAAAGTTACAATAAAATCAAAGTTATCTAAAAAAAAAATAATAACTTCTGCACAATGGCTTTGTATAATCACAAATGCAATAGAAAAACTAAATTCAATACAATCTACATTTCAATTCTAATTAGTTAATTAAAATTTAAAAAAAAATGTTACCTTATTAAAACAAGTGCTTGTTCTCGGCATTACAAATAGGATCCAGTATCCAATTCACGTGTAAATCACTTAACCACAATTGATTACACTTTTCAACAAAATACTTTTTTAATTAATTTAATTAATTCACCTCGTAAATACTAATGAGTTGACTTAATATCTGTGAATATTGTTGTTTACTTACAAAACCGCTTTTTTTAATGGATTTATTCACTATTTTGTTGCACTTTTTGATGTAAACACAAATTATACCGTTCATAATTTCGATTTGTTGATAATCGTTTCGTTTTTTGTTTTTTTGTTTTTAGCTGGGATTCAACGCAGAGCACTCTTGGTAAGTTTTAACCATCGCATTTCCTCGCTACCAACGATCATCAAGAAGTAAAGAAACATTTGCATTTCCTCATAATTTCCAGGTTTAAGCAATGCGATTCGATGCACCTCAGATTTTCCTTTATTTATATATGATTTTTTGTTCACATTTTCATTTAATTTTCGTAGGGCTGACGCCGCAGTTATGTCGCACATTTGGGAGCTGGTGTTGTGCGATGACACCATACGTAACCGGTATTTTATATAAATTTTATTATTTTGGACCTTTTCTTATGCTTCCTCTTTAGGTTATTGTCTTGTACTGTCTTGTTTCTTTCCCTTGTCTTTAAAGCACACACACAAACAAAAAAAAAACGCAGAACACAAAAGCTGGACTACACCCCCCCCTGACCGCACCTCTTAACATCATGCATACATTCTATTTATAATTTTTTTAATTGGTTTTACCTTTTAACAATCATATGTACTTTTTTTTTTATAATTCTTAATCGCTGTTCTTCTCACTGCTTCACTTACACACTCGCACACTTTCTCTATAGTCTTGTCTTCTTTATTTTCTTATCAGGGCTGATGCCGCTGTACTTTGCCATGTTTGGGAGGATGTAATTATGGACAATATTGATAAGCGGTAATATTAACAAACACATAACTCTTCATAAACAAAAGACGTTGATGTTTACTTTACTTATATAAGTTTGGTTTGCTACAACTATTAATTTCAAACATAGAATAACACTTGCAAGATTTAACAATAATTGAAACAAAATTAATGAACTAAATCAATATTGCACGTGCATCACTTTTGGCTATTACTTTAATAACACTAATTTCAATTATTTGGCAACTAATATTGATTTCACCTGGTATTTCAAATTTCTCAATAAATTATTGAAGAGGAGTTCGAATTATTAGGTCTAAATCGTTTTAAATTAAAACTCTTTGTGCGATATTCGATTATATTTATTTGATTGCGAGAAAATGTGGATGCGCCGGGTCAATAGATTTATTTTTAAAATATAATCGGATATTTGCACTTTTATATTGGATATTTTAAGGAGTTTATGTTAATTCTTGGTGTTTTCTTTAGATATGAAAATGATATGAAGATCAAGGATGTGACGCCGCCTACTCCGATGAGGTTGAAGTGGGACATGAAATCGGACTGTCAATCGGTGATCGAGACTGCCGTTGTTTCCGCGAACAACCTCATAGCTGACTTGGATCTGAAGATCTACGTGCACGATGCGTACGGCAAGGGATTCATGAAGAAGGCTAAGGTCAGTCCGGACGCGTATCTGCAGATGGCTCTGCAGCTCGCTTACTACAGGGATTCCGGCAAGTTCAGTCTGACCTACGAAGCCAGCATGACGAGACTGTTCAGGGAGGGCAGGACTGAGACGGTGAGGCCCTGCACCATCGAGTCTTCCGAATGGGTGAAGTCCATGGACGATCCGAAGATCTCCACCGAAGAGAGGATAAGGCTTATGCAGGCGGCGTGCGTCACCCATCAGGTAAATACATCATCGGATTATTATTTTGGAACTAATTTTCGTGATTTGTTTTATAGAAAGGATATCAAGACGCCATGTGCGGTAAGGGCATAGACAGGCACTTGTTCTGTTTGTACGTTGTTAGCAAATATTTGGAGGTGGACTCTCCGTTCCTCCAGAAGGTGCTGAGTGAGCCGTGGAGGTTGTCCACGTCGCAGACGCCGCACGGTCAGACCGGTCGCATCGACCTGAAGAAACACCCGAAATGCATCTCCGCCGGTGGCGGATTCGGACCCGTAGCTGATGACGGATACGGCGTTTCTTACATCATCGCAGGCGAAGACGTGCTGTTCTTCCACATCTCGAATAAGCGAAGCAGCAATCAGACCGATTGCCATCGGTTCGCGGATCACATCAGAGATGCTTTGGCCGACATCAAGAGTATGTTTGTAGAGCCACCGAAGCAAAACGGCAAAGCGTAAAGACATAGGAGAGAGAGAGAGAGTTTCATCAACTGAAACGTAATTAGTATAACGGTCAGAACGAAGCGAAGAGAATCCCGTCTTCTTCGACTACTTCATTTCTTTTTTTTTTTTATCTACATATGATTATTATATGGTTGGTTTTTTTTATAATTGATTTCATTGACTAATTCGAGTCTTCCTGGGTATTAAGCGCGATCGTTCGTTTAACTTTTATTTACTATTAAGATATATACTACTAAGTCTTAATAATATGCAGTATCAATGCAATTTGTTTGTATATTGTTTCTAGTTAATATTATCGATATCATTTTCTTCTGCAATTTCCCATACTTCGATTTATACATATATTATTATTTTTGTTTGTTGTATCCCACACATTTGTTGATTATTTATGTTTTGTTTTCTTCCTCTACGTCTCACCATCTCATTCCCTCATTTTATATGAATTAATTGCATATTACGAAGCAAAGAAATTTTAAATAATTTTGTTAAATTTAAATAAAAAATATATGAAAACAAGTTAATATTTTCAATTTTATTACAAACTAATTACCCTACCTCAAACTGCATGACAACACAAAGATGTATATAGGCATGTTGGAAAGGTGAGCTTTTCAGCTTTCAAACGAGTGTTCAATCATGTAATTATCTTAAGGGGTTGTCGAGATATTAATGAGAAACTAAAAAGTCTGAAAATAAACGTCACTTCTTTGTTTTTTTCAATTTCTACAGCTCATAACAGGCGACTCGATTACAGCACAAAGATATATGTAGGCACGTTGGAAAGGTGAGCTTCTCAGCTTTCGAACGAGTGGTCGATGATGTAATTATCTTATGGGGTTGTCGAGATATTAATGAAAAACTAAAAAGACTGAAAAAATACGAGAAAACAGTCGTTTCTCTGTTAACGTATAAAACGTTAAATATGTGTTTTTTTTTTTCAATTTCCACAGCTCATAGCAGGCGACTCGATAACAGCACTAAGATCTATATAGGCTTGTTGGAAAGGTAAGATATTCAGCTTTCATAAGAGTGGTCGGTGATGTAATTATCGTAAAGGGTTGTCGAGTAATTAACGAAAAACTTTAAAAACTGAAAAAAAATACGAAAAAAACGTTCTACAGCTCATAGCAGGCGACTCGATGACAATACAAAGATGTATGTAGGCTCGTTGGAAAGGTGAGCTTTTCAGCTTTCAAACGAGTGTTCAATAATGTAATTATCTTAAGGGGTTTTTGAGAAATTTACGAAAAATTGTAAAAAAACTTTCTGTAGCTCAGGCGAGTAGACTTGACTTACAATAAAAATCTACATTAATTAAATCATTGTGGATTGTCAAAATATAGAAGAAAACAGCTGAAATCTATAAGATTCGATTACCTATAGTGGTGTAGTTTATACAGTGAAACTTCGCTTAACGAGTTTAATCCGTTCCAAAATTTCCGGATTTTTACTTGTATAGTGTAAACATATTCAAAAATACACATAAGTTTTAAAACTGATGCAGCAGGCGCGCAATCCGAGACTTCTCTTCTCATCGTCACTCGAAAAGTCGCTCGTCAAGCTAGTGATTTTTCTTGTTATGCGAGGTTCCACTGTATATGATAATACAATTTAATATAATTGAATTTGGTAATGTTTTGAGTAAAGAAAATAATTTAGAAAAGAACGAACACATACCGTTGTTTTTTATTCGTTTCGCATAAGTATTGTAGGAATTGACAAAAAAAGAATTATTATTCTTATGTACACTTAAACATAGTCCCCATTTTCATAAGTTTAATACAAAAAAAACAAAAAAAAAAAGAAAACAATCTTTTTAAAGAACAAAAATAAAAATGAGTTATAACAATTATGATCACAATGTATAAGTGATATATATATCAAAGTCCTTTCTAACAACGAACGTCTTTGAGCTTTCGTTTTTCAATTATTTTTAAATTATAAACCTAGCGACGATGGAAGATGGATCATTGCTTTGACGGATGAATAAATAATTATTTGTTTCTTCTTTTAAATTTCAAAAAAAATATAAAAAAAATTAATAATAGTGTAAAAATAGTCATTCACTATCACTAGTCGGAGCGCTGGGCCTTGCGTTGCCTTGGACTCTGCTTGGGAGACTTGGACTTGCTCGGTTTCGGGGTGGTCTGCAGGGCCAAAGTCTGCTTGGGCAACCAATCGTAGTCGACGTTGTTGGGGTTGCTGGTGCCGGTCTCGACTGGGGCCTTGCGGGCTGGCTTGTGCTTGCGACCGACGGACAGGAGGGTCTGTTGACCGATGACCAAGAGAAGGACGACTCCGGCAGCCAAGAACAAGTACAAGAAGAAAGTCTCACCATCCAAACCTAAAAAAAAGAGTAAATAATATACGTTAATTAATTGATCTTGAATTAAGAGCGTGGATCAGAGCGGACCTTCTTCCAATTCGACGATTTGCACGGTTTCGTTGTAGACGGCTTCCTGGAAGGAGGCTCCGGAGGCGTCGCGGTAGTTCAAGTTGATGTTGAGTCCGAAGGGACGTCCGGCGAACGCTTCGGATGGGACGAAACTGTAAGCGAGAGTGGCTTCCTGGGAGGGAGAAACTTCTCTGTTGTAACGGATGGCGGAGAAGTTCTGGATGTAGAAGTTGAAGTCCATGGGGTAACGGAAGGAGGCTTCGACGGTGTCGACGACGAAATCTTGGTTGCCCTTGTTGCGGAAACCGACAAGGAATTCGACTGGGACACCAGCTGGCAATTCTGTAAGATTAAATGGGACGCATTAGGTAATCCAGAAAGGATCCAATTCGATCTAAAACGTACCCATTTGAGAGCCGCCAGCGACGATGGGTTTCACAAATAGCAGATTCGTTTCGGCATCGGGCGACGCTAACGTCTTCGCATCGTCATCATCTTCTTCGGTGCCACCAACTTCAATATCAGCTTCTCCTTCAACGTCAGCCTCATCTTCTAGGGGATCTTCTTCAGCATAGGATAACATGCGATTTCCTTTAAAGAAACAAATTAAATCATTACTTAAACTCAAAACTACTTAAGCTATGGATAGCTTTAACCTGCTGATAGCATTTGGAACATATGTTTGTGATTACAACAATTTTATAAATGAAATATATATCAAAATTAATAGAATGATTGAGAGATCCACGTTGCAATCATAGAGAAATCTGCAGAAAGTGCAGTTGCGATTTGGATCAGCTTATATCAAGTATGCCACGTATTTTGGGTTATGTCGACGTCCCAGGTAAAAATACGATTTTTTCCTTCTTAGGCTGGGCTTTTCATCAAAGAAACTTACCATTGTCGAAGGTGAAAATAACGGCCGGAAGGACCAGAAGTGCGAGGAGGAAGAAACTCTTCATTTTCTCTGATTATTTGCTAGTGTTCTTGGAGCTACTGTTTTCTGCCAACTACAGCCAAACCGACGATTAACCAAACTAAACACGAAATAAAGCGCTACACTGGCCTGCCAGTTGGTCATACGTGGAACTTCGCTTTACACATGGCAATCCCCACTGCCGTGACGTAAACCAATTCCTGTTGTGTGTTCATCGCAAACGCCATCACTGCCAACCCACCAAAAATCACACAACATCTCATGTAATCTGATAATCCTTCATAAACAATTATATAATTACAAGAAGCTCTAATTATACACATCTACCTCTAAACAATAACAAGAAATATATACAAATATTAATCGAGTGCTCAGATTAACAAAATAAAATAAATGTTGAATGTAGGCAACTTAATTTGCACGTACAGATTTAAATATATTTCAACCTTAAATTAATCACATTATTATAATAATAATCTTAATATTCAATTAAAAAGTTAAAATTCCAATAACAAGTCTTTCTGCTTACTTTTTAAATTTGTTTCTTTATAATTTCTATACATTTGTATTATGCAGAAAAACTAGTTTAGCACGATTAAGTATGAACAACTTGAAGAGCAATAATATTTTATTAAAGTATGGACTTTTCCATAAAATGAAGAAATTATTTAAATTTCAGCTATGTTAAGCCATAATTGTTAAATTATATCCTGTAAACATTATGTTTACTAACATCTAATTAAACAATACTTAATGATAAAGTATTATCATTTCTTATGCAACTACCAAACAAAAACATGTATTTTTATCTGTATACTGATAAAGGAAATCTTATAACCAAATCATTAACAAGTGTTATAATTAGAAAATTGAAATTAGCTATTGAAATTGTGTAATTTTTGATTGTTGATATTATAGTAATTATTACTAATAAGAAAACAGAAAATATGAATTGTAATTAGTATTTATTGAACTATAATAGTATGTAACATTGACGCCATGGAGTAATAATAATAAAACTGTATTATTCTGTTGTTACGAACGTATCACATTTAGTAATTATATAATATATTAAATATAATATATATGTAGTAGGTAAAAACATCGATAAGCATAAAGTTATATGCATGCCATGTAGTGTGGAACAGTCTCGTTTCTGGAAAAGTCTTTGTTTCTTTTGGCAAACCCTCTCGTTCTGCATTCATCGTCATTCGAATCATTCCTACCCATAAATAGTCGACCCAAAAATATCACTTCATCCCTTAATACCGTACGCATATGTATATACACATAATCCACGAATTGACTAGAAAATATCATATTTGAGAAAACGTAACAAGAAAAAAAATACCAATTGTCGGTATATATATATATAAAAAACACTTCGGTATTCGGAATATCACTAATCAGACTTTCAATATTTATTCGAAACATCCGGATTTCGAGTCCGGGTTTATTGCTGCGGCGTCTTCGTCGGCGCTAACAGCATGCTCCTAGGTGTGAACGTGTCGCAGGTGAGGTTCTCCTTCTTGTGGACGCGACGGACGTGCGATCTCAAGTTGTCCCTTCTGGCCGAGCGGTAGGAACAGAACGGACAAAGATGAGGTTTCTCCCCCGTGTGCATCCTCCGGTGTTGAATCAACTGAGAGGGATTTGAAAAATAAAATTTTGTAATTTACGTCGAATGTTGACATACCTTTTTCAATTGAAGAGTTCGGAATTTGCAGAGGTCGCAGCAGAAATGCTTGTTGTCCTTGTGCTTCTGCATGTGGATGAAGATCGATTGCTCTCCGTTACGATCCTTGCCGCAGATGGGACACGATAAACGAGGCTCGTTTTGGTCTTTGGTGCCTTTCGCTTCGCAGTTTCTCAGATGCTTCAGGAAGGCTTTTTCTGTGGTGCAGGTGTACGTGCACATGCTGCATTTATACTCCTCTCGCGAATATCTAAAAACTAATAATTAGACTAAGCTTTACAAAAAAAATGATTAATTAACCTTATCCTCTGGATTCGACGTCTCCTTTTCTTCTTATCAGACGCATCCTCGGAATGCAGCTCCGCACTTGGTGAAGACGTCTCATCATCATCATCGTTGGAATCATCCGAACTATCATCTTCCTCCAGTTGGGCTCCGCCATGAATCGAAGTCGGATTGCTTGCGGTTTCATCGGATTCTGAGAGCACGGTCGCATCGTTTCCGTAGGTCAAGACCTGGACGCCTTGCACGAAGTACGTGGTCGGAATCGTGCATATCGATGTGCCGCAGTTCGCAAGCAAACTGCCCCAGATCTTCACCAGGTCCATCTCATACGGAACAAAAAACATCTTCACCTATTCACCTACCTCTAATTGATTAGATTTGTTTGTTACTCACCGTGTTCGAGATCGGCAGCATCCCAAAAAAAAAACAAAGAGAACGAGTCTCCTCGAATTACATTGTTTTCCCTCGTGTGTGTACATAAACAGACAGTTCAGATTATATTGGAAAAGCAAGGCTCACATGTTGGAAACGCTGTTTTGACACTGCTGCCGCTTTTTATTTTCTTCATCGTATGCACATTTTATTCTCCACCGAATTTTCATCGTGTAAAACTGCATTCTTCTGCGGCCGACGCAACCGAATCGCACTGTCATTATTCAAATAACAAAGATTTTCCTATATAAATGAAAATTTTATCATTACAACGAATGAGAATATTCATAAATATCATAATTTGTGCAATAATAACAAAAAGACAAAGTTTTCAAACTTGAAATTTTCTCATTTTAATTATCTAGATAAATTTCAAATTGTTTCATTCATATGATTATTCAATTATCTAAAAAATATAAGAAGAAACATTCCAAATCAAATATTTAAGTTAATAAAGAAATCTTGTAAGAAAATCATCCGAATTTCTGAAATATTGTTGTGTCCAACCATTATTGTTATAATTGTTATTATTAAGTGTATTAACGAACTACAGACATCCACGACGACTCTTAGTCGCATTATTATATAAACGTATACATCAGTATAAAGGAATCTCTACCGTGATTCCACTTTGATACACTTTAATATAAACAAAGGGAACAAAGCGTAAACATTCCCATCGATACTCCTGTACCTTTATACCGAATTCAATTAAGTTTGGGTACTATTGAAGACAATGTGCTATAAAACCAAAATTCAGAATAGATAGATCCCCAACAGTAACCTGAAGTGGATCATCTTCTCAAATTCGTGCTTTACTTCTCAAATTTCCACCCCGTCCGTATTAATAAGAATTAAGTTTGTAAGTACAATAATTATTTAGAGGTAGTCTCAGTAAAACCTTTAAAGATGAACATAGTCTTATAAGAATCTTAATATGATGAGGATAGTCTCAGACGAATCTTAAATCGACCAAGTAACACATAAAGTTATGTAAAACCAAACGAATTTCATTAAATTCCCAACAACTGAAACTCCACAACGACAACAGCAGAAAATATCCAACAGTGTCCAGAAAACCATCCCTGAGATACGACAACAAACCCTACTACTCCTGATCACAACTCCCACCCCGTATATTTATAAGAATTAACTTTGTAAGTAGAATAAGTATTTAGAATTAGTCTCAGTAAAACGCTAATATGATGAACATAGTCTCATAAAAAACCTAAGATGAGCATAGTTTTAGTCAATCTTTTAAAGTATCTACATTGTCTTGTCATAAACTTGTTTAATACCAATTGAATTATTTAATTGAAACTCCACAACAACAATACCAGACAATATTCCACTGTATCCAGAATTTCTTCCCTTGGATATGACAATATAATCGTTTAATAATCAATTAATTTAACTTTAATTAAAATCTTTAGTTTTCAATAAATTTTACCAAAAAAAATCAATACATTTATTATAATTTTTATGAAATTCTTACATTGTAATTAATAATAAAAAAAATGCATTAAAAGCTTTAATATTCTTTAAATTGAAAGGGTTTGAAATGGATTTTTAGTTTACTCAAAGTGAAAAAATGTATATTGTAAAATTAGTATAATTTTTCCTTTAAAGTTTTCCCTCAAAATGTGAATAGAATTATTTGTATTAAACTTAAGTTTAAACATTTTCATGTTTCTCTTTTGTGCCTTAAATGTAGATTTTGATTATTTTTTTAATTAAAACAATTATTTAGATGTTTCATTTCTATTAGCTTCAACTAGTTATTGAAACTAATAGAAATTAAAAAAAAAAACTTGATTTTTCCGTAAAAGCAAACATTTCATCAAATTTATTTATCGTTACACAATTTGACTCGATTATTTATGCTTTTATTTTACTAAACGCAAACTCTTGAAGATTCCAGTGTTAATATTATATCAATTAATAATTTCAGCAGTTTTCTATAAGTATTCTTAACATATCTGAAGATAAACAAAGATTGTCGATTGTTAAGGGTGGGAAATGAGAGAAAAAGTCATCATAAATAGTCAACTTTTCAAATGATTTTATTAAATCGTTAATGTATATATATGTATAATTAATTACAATTTTATCAATAAAAAATAATGAATATATATTTATATAATAATAATATTTTGTTATTTATACACGAAAACGAAACTGAAGGGACAAATTTTTTAATTTTTTTTAATTATTTTTTTTTCAACACTTGAACACACCGGGAAACGAGTGGGTGGTGGCATGGTGGGGGGGGAAGAGGGAAATGTATGGAATGCATTAAGTATAGCCGTAAAAACGAGAACGAACGTGAAAACCGAATCATCTTTTCGTATGTAAAATATCTAAAACTCCGTATTTTGCTTTCTTCATCTTCTTACGCGTTTCCTTCCCTTTCCCTTTACATATTTCCATTTGTTATTCCCTACAATAGAAAAAAAAATGAATTTTGAAGCCGAGTATTATTAATATATATATATATTAGTTTCTTTCAACGTTATTAAAATTATTAACTTTTTTTTTTCCGGTTTTCTCATAATAATATTTACATTGCTTACAATATAATCAAGTCGAACGAAAACGAATCAAGAAAAAGAAAATATATATATTTTTATTATTGTAATAATAATAATAGTCCTGAGCCTAAATTTATTTATTAATATATATATTTTTTTTTTGGTTGTGTGTGTTCTCTTTAATGTAGTTTCTGCACTCGATGGGAGGACTTCAATGAATGAGATAGTATTTATAGTTTTTATATATATATAGATACATGCCGTGAGTTCAATTGTTAATTAATCGTGTGAGTGTGTTTTAATCAAAGTGTGTGTGAAATAATTATTACTTTTAATATTTTACGAAAAGAACGATTTGTGAAACGTTCAACGAACAGAAAGAATTCTAATGTGTGTGTGTGTGGGGGAGACGAAACTGACAAAGAAAATAATATTTTGAAAGGTTTAAATCTCGTAGCGCTCTTCATTCTTCGAAAGCCTCGATCCGACGAAAAAAATCGCGGATCCCTAAAATTATTGTTCGGCAACTTTTTTTTCTTTGTTTTTGTAGATCCCTTTTATTTTCAACTCTCACCAAAGATCCAAGCAGGCGATGCCCAAAAGTGTAAACATCCACAAATATTAACAATTTCGTTTATCAACTATACAAAAAATGATCACTCGTAGCAGATTTGAAATCTAAATTGAAGGCAAAGTCTTGAGTTAATTTGTATGGTAAATGATATTTTACATTTTGGGCATCGTTCATTTAAATTGAATGAACAAGTGGATTAATATAGTCGTAATAATAATAATAATATTTGTGTTCTGCTAGAGATGACTCCTGTGTTGATTAAGAGATTTGTTTTTTTATTCATAGATTGATTACTAACGCGTTATTAATTAATTCATTAATTATTATTTATTCTCTCTCGTCTTCTCCGTTTCTCTTTATATCTCTCTCTCTCTGTTTGCATCTTCATCTCTTTCGCTCTCTCTCTTTCTTTCTCTCCTTTCTGTGAAAGACGCTGTATGTATATATATATTTATTATTTTCATATTTAAATTTATCTCTTTTTTTTTTCTTTTCTTTTCGAAATTTGAGCTATGTTAATATCACCTTATAATATGGTATGGCAGAAGTCTGAAGAAAAGGCGTCCAAAAATACGATAGATTCGATACAGTAGCGGCAATTTTAGTATAGTAATAAACTCGACGAAACTTGAACGACGGCGAACGAGGGCTGTTCGTTAGAGTCTTGGGAACGCGGTGGAGGCGGCAGCAACGGCGGCCGCCGCCTGCAGAAGGAATTCTTCCGCAGATGAGGCTGAGGAGGAGCGGCAGCAGCAACAGCAGCAGCGGCGGCGGTAGCGTGTAAAGATTTCCGTCGGCGAGAGCAAGAACGAAGGCTAGAAGCAGATGGAGGCCATCCTCATGGGTCGGTCCCCAGATAATACGCGGCCATGAGGACGAGGCCCTGGATCAGTCCATCTCGTGGTTGTCCAGGAAATGGGAGCGCACCTCTAGGTGGGCGGCCAGATCGAGGACGAGATGCTGGAGGGATGGATGCTCGAGCAGTTCCGCCTCGGGCAGCGGCGGCTGGCATCTGGGACGGTACTGGCGGCCCTTGAAGCCGCGGTGCAGGTGCAGCACCACATCACAGAACACGTAGCGGAGCAGCAGCAGACGCAGGAAGTCGTCGCCGAAGAATTGCAGATACGATGGCTCTTCAAAACGGACAAAAAACACAATTAAGAAAACACAATGGAAAGATGCGATCCTCCGGGCAACAACAACATCGAGAAGTTTAAAGAGACCACAAAGAAGAAATGCGAAATGGCAATAACTACGAATCAGCGACGCAATCAAGTTTAGCAGCGAACATGCAAACATCAATTCTGATTGCGTCAGTGATCATCGATAACATTCCAATATGTAGGATCAGTGGTTCTACGATGCAAATCTAACGACACATTTAAAGCGTTTTCCATTATCAATCCAAAGGACATTTATAGAAAAAAAAGAGAAAATAGATAGAAGAGAAATCCCAAAGAGCACCACATCATCACCACTATCACAAAAACATTTCTTTTTTGGTGATGTTGATGATTATGTAGTGCAATCTACAGAGACATTTAAATATATAGAGCAGCGGTCGGGGAACCGGGGTAAATTACCCAAAATGGGGTAAAAATGAATTTTTCTTGGGTAATTTTTCTAATTTCATCTTACCAAACTCAGAGAGCGGTTCTCTGACTACTTTTCATATCTTGATGTACAAACTGTGAATTGGGTTGTAGATCCTTTTAAATGTGAAATTACTAACATACCAGAACAACCTCCAGGTTTGGCAGAGGCAATTTTTGAACTTCCATCCAATACTGTATTCAATCTTTTTGGTTGTCAAAGGCTGCAAAGGCTTTCAAAATTGCACATGAGGAGGCGGTAAAAAAATTGCTGCCATTTGCAACAACCTACCTTTCCAAGTTGGAAAAAATCTGCCAGAAGGCTTTTCCACTCTAATGAACATAAAAACGAAAAACAGAAATCGATTAAACGCCGAAGACTGTATTCAAAAATCCCAATTTTAAAGTAATTATATCAAACATGAAGCAACATCATTTTTCCAAAACCTGAAGGGGAAAGTTTTCAATTAATTTTTGTTTGTTCCAATTTAAGACATTACTATTACTATTTTCATGTAACTTTTTTTTTTAAATATGTAAATGCAAATTAATTCAATAAATAATGTTTATTTAAAATTTACATTGATTGTTTCATGAATTCAGAATGGGGGGGTTAAAAAAGTTCCCCGACCGCTGATATAGAGTATTAGATTCCATATTAGAGACTTTCAGGAACCACCAATCCTACATACCTTCATCATACTCACCGACTCTGGACCGCGTGAAGAGGCGCGACGCTTCCGTCACGAAGCGGTCCACGAAGCTCTGGCATCTTTCCCAATGGTGGATCGGGATGCTCGTCAGGTTACAACAGTAGCAAAAGGCAGTTAAGGGCGAGTGCAAGAACAGCGTGAACAACGATCCGTTGTGCTGTTGATCTGTGTAAATAACAAACAGTTACGTATTATTAACGAATTTATTAAGTTATTGCGTTTACCATGGAAAGCTGGAGGAGTGTCTTGCGGCGACATGAGCGTGACTAGCGGCTGTCCAAAGTATCTGGGGATGTGCTGGAACACGAAGCTGTTATCCGAATCGACGATGACGAAGAGCGGCCTCCTGGTGAACGGGTACAGATCACCCGGGTAAAGGCAATGCGCTTCCTTGGACTTCTTGTGTTCGCTGTCCCTCTTGGCGCTGGTCAGCACGCCGCCAAGATCGTAACCCACTGGTGATAAAGGATCGATTTTTAATTTGTACTTTTGTAAGTTTAAGAACGTACTGTCTTCGGGATGTTTGGAAGTCGAGAAACATCCGTCCGCGGAGAGGTAAAGTAGAAGGGCACCGTTGGTGGGGAGTTCTTTGAAGCCGCTCGCGAGGAACACGAGCACCTGGCTAAGGGTGGGTTTGTACAGCAAGTACTTGTGGGGATTTTCGCGTTTCGGTCTCTCCCCGTTCTCAATGTACCTGAAAAATATAAAAAATATCAGCATTTCGCGGATCAAAGTGTTAAAAACAAATACCCTTTGCTTCCGGGTACACCGTACGGGGCGCGACCTGGTGCAGGGGAAGCGTCGTAGATGTGATTGTAATCCTCCTGCGGTTCCCTTTCCAGCGTCTGTATCATCCTGAACATGTCCATCGTCAACTCGGAGAATTTGACCTGTTCGGATGAGCTTCCGACGATCAGGATTTCCTGCAGCGTCAGCGTCATGTACTGCGATTTTTCCACCGGCGGCGTCGTCAGAGGACTCAATCTAATCCCCCCGATGGGATGAAACGGATAATGCGTTTAGAGACGGTCTGCTTTTAGCGGTATTTTGATAAAATTGTGTTTACCTGTGCGAGAGGACAATCGGATTGGTGTCTGCGTGCAGAACGGAGACCAAAGAGTCGGCCGTGATGAATCCTTTGATCTCGTCCAGGACCAGGCTCCACTCGATCTGATCATCCGGCTCGTATGTGCTCGTATAGTCGGAGATATGTCTGTCTAACTCTATTATCAGCTCCCTAACCAGCTTCATTCGCCGCAACAGTAAACACACCACGATGAAACGCGCGTAGTATCGCAGCTTTTTCACCATCAGCTCCGACCTGAAAGCAAAAATAATAACACTGCTGTATTTCCAATAACATCAACGGAAGACGAACAAAAAAAACATACAAAGACAAATATTCATCATATTCACTTTACAAATTTCCGTTCTATACAAACTATACCTAAAATATCGATCAAACACTGTTTTATATATACAATTTTTACCAACCCTCAACTTTGTCATAATCAAAATCAATTTATAGATTTGATTTTTGCAAAATATTAAGATAGTTTTTGAACTAATGAACAATATAATAAAGCCAACTAGATAAAACCATAGAAATATTTGCAACTTCATACGCATCTTTTGGATTCATTCTATCTATAATAGAGAAAATCAGTAAAATGTGAAAATACTGCTTTTTTCGAGCATTTTTTAAACTTTGAACGCGAATTACAGCCATACGGATAAAA